CTTAACATTGGGATGCAAGTTCATTAAGAATAAATGTATTCTTTTTACAGTACTAAGAGAAATGAGAAACAGATTTTTAATAGAATATTTACAGATTCCCTAATTTTTGCCAAACATTGTATAAACAATTTTTATCAAAATTTCATTTAATCCCAATAGCTCTTCAAGGTATTTCATTATTATTGCCTTTTATTACGGTATTGTTGCCGGCGTAGTTGAAATTGAGTCACAAATGACCCAATGAACAACAAACCTGAATCTTACCCTCTCCTGCACCATCCTCACAATCTCTGATACACCCAAACCTATTGTTATAGAGACTGTGTCAGTTCATTTTGTTGAGGGTCTTCCTCTCTTTGTGACCCTCTGTCTTTCCCAGAGAAAATGGAAAAAAATTAGGAATGACTTATCCAAAGCCTTAAAGTTAAATAAGCAGGTATCAAAGTCTAAAGTTCAAGCCATCAGAACAAGAATCTTTATGACTTACTATCCCTATTTCATTTCCAAAGGAGCTATAATTATTTCTAATGCTTCAAATCCACCAGCTGTCCCGCAAGGGAAAGATGAACAATCTCCTCTCATGCAATTTACGGTCTCTGAAAATTTGTTGGAGAGTCAACCTTGGATCAGTTCCAACTCAACAGCAAACAACAACAACAACTAAAAATAAGGATATTTCTACTTCAAATTTTGTGTGTAAGAAAATTGATAGCTTTAGCATATGGCAGAGACTATCATAACTGGAACCAGTGTACTGTTTTGGAACAGATAGATATTTTTATGACAGTCTACATCAGATCTCTACCAACTAGATCTTATATAGTCAGAAAAAGAGGAGAAAATGTTTTGTTCAATCTTTAGAACATCTTCAAATATTTGTAATATGTAAAATGATAGAAGGAGAATTGATGTCTTTGAGCTGTGGTTCTTGGGGAAGAGTATAGAATATACCATGCACTGCTAAGAGAACAAACAGGTTTGTCCTGGAGAGGGTGAAACCAGTTTGCTCCGTTGAGGCAAGGATTCTGAAGCTTCGCCTGACATATTTTGGACATGCTGTAAGAAGGGACCAGTCCTTGGAGAGGGACGTCGTGTATGGGAGGGTGGAGGGACAACACAGGAGAGGAAGACCCTCTATGACATGGATTGATTTAGTGACTGGGGTAATAGGGGTAGGTGTATCAGAGACAAGTGAGATTGGTACAGGACAGAGCAGGGTTTATTTAGGGCTGTTGTACATAGGGTCGTTGAGTCACAGGTGACTTGACAGCACATAACAACAGACAAACAAAATCATTCCCCTGCCACACATTTCAAAATTTAGAGATAATAATCTTTATACAAATTTTCCAAGAGATATAGGTGTTAATCTGCATTAGTCTGCTTCGAAGTCATGAACCTTTTGAGTTTTGCCAAAAAGTTAAGTTTTCCAAAATACACAGGCTTCAATTTCCTATAAGCAGTGCAAAAATGAATTAAAGGCTAAAGTACAAAAGATTTTCCTTCTAAATGATATGCATTGTACAGTCATATTATTATGAAAATATATATAAATGGTAAAAGCGATCATGCACAAAGGACCTATTATGTGCTGCATACTTTATATATGAGTTTTTACTTCCAACCTTCAAATAAACGTATGTGATGTAGGTGTGATAAGCTCTATTTTACAAGCAAAGATATTATGGTGATAAAGTACAAATACTTTGCCTAATATATTATGATTATAAAGTGGTGGGGCTAGAATTTAAACTCAGATTTCTCCAACTCCAAAACACATATTCCTCATTTACACTGTTTACTGCCTCCAACTTCTTAATTTCTTCTTGGTCTATAAATGGGTTTTACATGAGCACAATTAAGTGTTCTGGGATTTCCATTCTTTGCAATGTTATACAAACTTTGTTTTGATGCACAGTCAATAAA